CTACTGATACTACTACTACTACTACTACTACTACTACTACGACTACTGTTACTACTCGTACTGCTAGTACTACTACTACTACTACTACTACTACTACTGCTACTACTACTACTACTAATAATACTACTACTACTGACTACTACTACTGCTACTACTACTACGACGACGACTACTACTACTACTACTACTACTACTACTACGACTACGACTACGCCTATGACGACTACTACTACTACTACTACTACTACTACTACTACTGCTACTACTACTACTACTACTATTACTACTACTACTACTACTACTACTACTACTACTGCTACTACTGCTACTACTGCTACTACTGCTACTACTGCTACTACTACTACTACTACTATTACTACTACTACTACTACTACTACTACTACTGCTGCTGCTACTGCTGCTACTGCTGCTACTGCTACTGCTACTGCTACTGCTACTGCTATTGCTACTACTACGAACGATAATATTAAGAACGGCAACGCCATCCCTATCAACAAATTTTAATAATAATAATGGACAGAATCGTAATGATACTGAACATAGTAACAAAAACAATAATAACATCAACAATGCAACACGCCATCGCCCCGTGAACCGCTAGGCGGGCTGTGCTCGAAATCCGTGAGAAGAGGCAGGGGAGTGGGCTCCTGCGGATCAGGTAGTAAAGCAAGACGTACGCGAACATGTCGGGCGCGGCCTGGCGAGGCAGACAACGCGGGAGCGGACACCGGGGGATCAAACTCAGGTGACCACAGCGCTCCAGACGAGCGGAAACGGATGGTTGAGTGGTGGCTTTCGGGATGCACGGCGTCTTGGGCGTGCTGTCTATGGTGGAAAATAACTGATCAAACTGAGAACCTGCTGTCCCATCTGGCACAACAGCAAGCTCTCACATTGGGCCCGCCATAATCCCACCAGCCTGTAGGGCGTGAGTGGTTTAGCGGGTTTTCTCTTCCAGCCTCTTTCTCCCCCTTCGGAGAAGGACTTACCTCTCACCCATACACCCTTACCCCTGGGTCTGGAGGGGGGGAGGTCGCGGGTCGTTGGAACGTTCAAGATGGCCTCGGCGAGAAGGCAAACATAAGCGACTGAACGCAGATGCTGAGCCACTGTTGGCGTCTTCGGGGGACGGGCCCTAACTTAGTACCCCCCCTTCTTTGACAGATCTTCTCCAATGTGGCCCCAAGATGGCCCCCGAGGCTCCCACCACTGCCTCAAGAGGGTCCCAAGAGGCGCCCAGGGGGAAGCCTCGCAGAGGCCCCCAAAAACCCCTCCGAAAAGGCCTCAAGAAGCCTCCCCGAGGCACCCAAGACGCTCCTAGAGGCCCCCGGGACCGCCCAAGAGGACTCGAAACATCGTCAAGCGACATCCGAAGAGACCCCGAGAGGCATCCAACAACTCTCTAACAATTCTGCTCGCCCTCCTCCTCCTTCGCCTCCGACTGTTCATCCCTCTTCCTCCTCCCTTCTCCCTTCTCTCACTCCTCCTCCGATTCCTCCTCCATCCTCCCCCTCCTGGGGTATGACGGCTTCCACAGCCCTTTCTTCCGCTGCATGCTCCTCCACATCCATGATCAAGACACCTCGCTTGAACATAATTTCTGGATGGGCTGGCGGGGTTACTTTTTTGATTCGCGGCCCGCAAGGAAAAGTCCAGAGGGCGGTGTGAACGAGGCTGGGACACAGCGCGCGGGAAGGCAGATAATTAACGGCGCAGCGCAAGTGCCGGCCAGGAAAAAGCAGCTGAGTATGTGCAGCAGCAGAAACTTAACAACGCTGAACATGTGCCAGCGAGGGATGCAAATGGGAAGAACCAGCCGCTGAGCGTGTGCCAGCGAGGGTGGGGAGGGCGCTGGTGGGGTTACGTGAAGCATCTGAAATATTCGAACCAGGACGTTGGACTCTTCGGCCTGAATGCACGAAGGAGTGAGCTCAGTCAAAGTGTTCAGTTGATGGCTACTCCAACGTGCAACGCAATCGTAAAGCTCCATTTCCTGCACAAGCGTGCCACTCGGGGCCTCATGTGGAAGGGCACTCGAGACAGCACGGTTCAAACAGGTCGCAACATCCTGTGCCAACCTCCGAACATCTTTTCCGCAAGAGCTCAACTAGACGCAAGGCCATGGTGGTGATTGTGACCATACGGCCCAGACCCACCGAACGCCGATACAAGGCGATCAGGCACCAACGCCAAAGCATTGAACCTTCTTAGATAATCAAGCCGTAGGGCCACTGGGTCCAGCAGAAATGGACGAAGAGCCATCAGCCTCTGGCCCCCTCTGGGAATGCGAGCTCAAGACGCTGTGGTATTACAAGCATGCCATATAACACAAATATTACAACGAATCACAATTCTTCACTGGCGGTCGGTAAAACGGCACCGCGCCACGTGGTCTACACGTCGAAATGAGTGATTGTGCGGGGCACTGGAAGGCCTCTAAGCCAGGTGTTGGTCCTCATTCCGCCACCGTTTCTGTAGGCATCGAGTGGAGTGCCCCCGTGTCTTCTCGAATTCTCGATGTTGGAGATTGTGAAGGCTCTTGACGGGGCCCGATTCGTCGAATTCTGGGGTGCCGAGTACCTGAAATGATCAAGCACTTCTGGGGTGTGGCGTGACTTTTCTGGGATCGGCCGGAAGCCACCGATCCACCGCCCCGCAGCTTGCGAGAGGGGTGCTAGGTGTGCCAGAGTTCATGATAACTATACTTGGCTCTTCCACACGGTTCCAAGTGGCCTCTGGCCCAACCCGCCAACCCTGCGCAAACGGCTTGAGCCAGTGGCTGTCCTGCCCAAGGTTGCTCCCAGAAGGTCCCCCAAAGCGCCCCTGTCGCCAGCAACTCGGTCCACGATGTTCGCTGCGGCCTCCAAGTCGGCTCAAAGTGCCCCCAAGAGGGACCAACCTGGCCCCACGACAACCCCAGATGACATGAGACTGCCCGAAAAGCCTCCCAAAGTCCCGCAGGAGGGCCTCCAGTCATAGCATGACTTGCTTTATGTAGCTTTCCACTGGTTGCCAGCGCGGACCCCAACCAATGAGTCCTTGCACCCTGTGTGTAAGCTATGACGCTATATGTTGCTAGGCACGCGTGCTGCAGGCTGTGTGGTCCAAGCTGTGCGTGGTGCAAATCATGGTGCGCAAGCGACTTAGGCGTGTTGCAAGCTGCGCAGCGGAAATGGTGCTGTGCACTAATTGATGCAAACTGTGTGGTGCAAGCTACAGGCTCTCAGCGACAGAAGACGCCCAGGGCAGCCCACCGGGCGCAGCCTCGGCAGTTCCGCCCAGCGCACGGGGCGCCCAACGAGGCGCGCACGGCCACCCACGAGTCGAAATTGCGGCAAGCCTATCCGCGTACCCAACGCTAACAGGTAAGAAACGATGCACACACTTCATGATAGTGCATGCAAATACGTATGTCAATACTTAGGTGACGTGTATATGTATATATATATATATACAAATATGTATTTGTTTATATTCAGATACGTGTAGATTTAGTATACCTACATGCATACATTCAGGCAGGTATGCATACTTAAATACTTAAGACTAGAACCACGCGCGCGCTACGCTCAGCATGCGACGTCCACCAACCTCCCCATTCCTTCTGCAGCATGCCTACCTCCTCCTGTGTGTTGGCAATGCGAAGCGCACTGTGCTCGACCGCGCTGGGCTGCAAGCCGAGTAGAGGCGCAGAAAAAACGAATGCAGTGCAGACGCCCCGTTCACCGAGTGAGTATCAATCCACTGTCTCCATTGCTGATGTTTGCGGCGTGCTGCTTGCTGCTGCTGCGCTTGAGCTGCTTGATCCGCCCATTGCCTGAGAAACCTTATCATGTCCCCAAGGATCGCCAGGATGTTTCCCAGGACGTAAGGCAACGCAACATAAATCTGCTTGGAGGGCAAAGTGTGGGCCCTGGAGAGCTTGCGGAGCCTGTTGACACTAGAGGTCCACGCCTTAGGCTTATCCCCAACACAGTGCTGTACACGTAGGAGTTCCCCGAGCGCCAGGGAGACTTTCCGCCACCAGACGGCCAGAACAGATAACATAGAAAAACGAACAGGTCCTGGACGCCTCGCTGGGCGAAACATGGATTTGATGGGCATGCTGCGGCCACGGTATCTATCAGCTTCATCAGATGGTACCTGAAATGCTCTGGCAGACACGAAGGCATCCCATTTGGCATCAATCGAGTCGGCAACACCAATGGCTGTAGCAGCGTCCTCCCGCACATCCTCCTGCGGCTTCTGTACACATCGTGTAGGGGAACTTGCGAGGAACAGCGACCATGCGCACCCTCACTTCGCTACAGAGGCGAGTGCGAAGAGGTGTCGATCTCATCCAGCAGATCAACCGTATGTCCTTCGAGCAAATTGGTAGATACAACGAAATAGTCGATGACGCGCACTGCTGGCGAGCAAGTACCAACCGAAGGCGCGACGGTCTGAGCATCTAGAGCCGCTGGCCACTCGAGGACTCGAGCTGCTGCGGTTCCAGTTGCCAATCACCTGCTATAATGAAGGGAATGTGCGCGGATTTGAAAACGTTCCCGAGCCTCGAGAGGATGCCCCCATTGAAGTCCGATAGACTGCCCCCGTCCTTGAGATAGATATTGCCCAAGAGAAAACCACCCTTGAAGAGACCTCCTACGTCCTCCTCCTCCTCCCCCTCCCCCTCCTCCTTCTCCTCCTCCTCCTCTCCTTCCTGCATTGATGTCAGAAACTCCTGGCCGTCCACCTCCGTCTGTCCGTTCCCTCTTCTCGTCCTTCCGAACACGAGCTCTCTAGGAACCCCGAACTGCCATGGTCGCCCTGGGGCGACTATGCTGGCTCGCAGCGCAGCTCGTGCACCCACAAAACAATACCCTGGCGATGTACCCGACTCATCCACAGCATGTGCGCATGGCAATGGGCGCTTCTCTTACGGATGACGGCACAAGCATCGGAACATTAGCCTGGCGAAGAACCCAACCATATGCAGTTGTGAGCACCGTCGTTGTATGCACCGCATTCGGAGGAGCTCCTTAGAGGGCCACGAAACGTGCGAGGGGTGTACCAACATTTGTCCGGTGGGCGCATGCGAAAGCAGCCACTTGGGCCGTCGGTGGAATTACCTATGGGGCCACGGAACGCGTGAGAGGTGCGCCGAAATAGGTGCGGTGGGTACATGCGAACGCAGCCACTGGGGCCGTGCCGAAATAGGTGCGGTGGGCGCATGCGAACACAGCCACTGGCGCCTTCGGTGGAGCTCCCTATGGGGCCACGAAGCGTGTGAGGGGTGTGACGAAATAGGTGTGGGTGACGCATGTAGGCGGTGGTACTGGCGCCTTCGGTGGAGCTCCCTATGGGGCCACGAAGCGCGTGCGGACTGTGCTGGAATGGGCGTGGGTGACGCATGCAGGCGGTGGCACCGGGGCCTGCGTTGGAGCTCCCTATGGGGCCACGAAACGTGTGAGGGGTGTGACGAAATGCGGTGGCACTGGGGCCTTCGGTGGAGCTCCCGATGGGGTCACGAAACGTGTGAGGGGTGTGCCGAAATGGGTGTCGGTGACGCATGCGGGCGGTGGTACTATGGCCTTCGGTGGAGCTCCCTATGGGGCCACGACGCGCAAGATGGGTGTGCCGGAATGTGCGTGGGTGACGCATGCGCGCAGCGGCACTGGGGCCTTCGGTGGAGCTCCCTTATGGGGCCACGAAACGTGTGAGGGGTGTGCCGAAATGTGTGCGGGTGACGCATGTAGGCGGTGGCACTGGCGCCTTCGGTGGAGCTCCCTATGGGGCCACGAAACGCGTGCGGACTGTGCTGGAATGGGCGTGGGTGACGCATGTAGGCGGTGGCACCGGGGCCTGCGTTGGAGCTCCCTATGGGGCCACGGAACGTGTGAGGGGTGTGACGAAATGGGTATGGGCTACGCATGCGGGCGGTGGTACTGGGGCCTTCGGTGGAGCTCCCGATGGGGCCACGAAACGTGTGAGGGGTGTGACGAAATGGGTGTTGGTGACGCATGCGGGCGGCGGCACTGGGGCCTTCGGTGGAGCTCCCTATGGGGCCACGAAGCGTGTGAGGGGTGTGCCGAAATGTGTGTGGGTGACGCATGCGGACGGCGGCACTGGGGCCTTCGGTGGAGCTCCCCATGGGGCCACGAAGCGCTGTATTGGGTGGGTGAAACGCAAGGAGTAAGGAGGAGGGAAGGGGGGGGAGGAGGGAGGAGGAAGGAAGGAGCAGACGCGGGGACCGTCCCTTCAAAACGAGGACCCAACACCACAGGATGGCTAGGAAAAACATAGCGAACACTCATGCCACATTCATCGGTGAACGCCTCACCCTCCCCCCAATGTTCAATTTGACGGTACGTCTGATGAGTTGCACTTCAATCGCGTTCTCCTCCGCGCGTGTCAACTTTGCATTTGAGGGGAAGGGGGGGTCTCCATTATTTGTTCCACTGTGACGCATGACAGGGACAACGATTGTGTCGCACACCTTGCTTACGTCTACGCATTTCACGGTTCAAGTGGCGGGCGCCACGTGAGGCAATGCTTTGGGATATGGCATTGCAAGAGACCAGGTCGGCGAGGTCTCGGTCTGACATCTGGCATGGGGAGGACCGCGCTACGTTGGACCGCCCAACAGCCCACGAACGTTCGGACGAAAGTGGCATCAGTTTCGCAGTTCGCAGCCCCCAGGGGCGGCGAAGCCTTCTGCTTTGAGGACCTCGCAACGCTGAAACCAGAGGAGCATACGATCGCGGCGACCGTTTCGCAGCTCGCAGGGACGGCGAGGTCCCAGTCTGATCTGACTAGGACCACACGACGCTGGGTCTCCCAACTCCCAATGGCACACGAACGTGTCGACATTTTAGCACTTCGCACCCCTCAGGGACGGCGAGTTCTCATTCTGTTCTGGGTGGGGCCGCACTACGCTGGACCGCCCAAAACCAGCGAAAGTAGTGACACGTTGGAAATTAGCAGCCCCCAGGGAGAGTGGCGGCAGTTTCGCAATTCGCTGCCCCCGAAAGGCTGCGAAGTCTCACCCTGATGCTCGTAGCACCGCACTTCGCGGGACCCCCCCGAGACTCAACGAACAAACGCGACGTATTCTCAATTCGCAGCCGGAACGGCGAGGTCTCACGCTGATCCGCGTCGCACCGCACTACACTGGACCCCAAGAGCCCAGGAAGGTTGGGAGGTACAGTCGGGGCGTTGACCTGAGGAACCCTAAATAAGGATCGAGGCCCCTTTTTCCCACAAGTTCAACCTCGATTTCCCATGGAACACCTCAGGAAAACCCTAGGTAAATTTTGAAACAAACAAGGAACACCGAGCACCTCCCCAACGAAAAGGGTTCCTTCTTCAGCGCCCCGACTGCATTCTCAGTTCGCAGAGCTCCCAGGTCGGGCCACGCAGAAAGGAGGCAGGACGCAGGGAGGGAGGGAAGCGGGAGCAGGAGGACGACGAGACGGAGACCCCTGGCCACGACGAGAACACAGCGCAGGAGGGACGGCAACAGCAGGGCTGCACTTGAAGGAAAGGAGAGATCTGGGGCCAGGAGAGCACAAAGGGGTAAGAGGAGGATACAAAACAGATGTCATGCACGACGAGTGGGACGACCACGCGACGCGAACGACTGCGGTAGTACCGCTCCGCTTCTTCTTCTGGTGGGCGTGAACGTCCCTCCTCTTGCCAGCCACTCTTGCCGCTGGCTGGGTCTGCCCCTGAGCTGGGTCAGATGCACCGAGCTGGACCTCGGAAAGCCGTCAAGGCGAGCCGCTGATCTTGGGATGAGATCGAGCGACCGACCAGTCGCGACGGCCTTCAAAATGCCACGCGCGTGTCGCCAAACTGTGCCAATCAGGCCTCCGTGGGCCTGGCGCGGTAAGCAGCAGCAAAGCCGCGCGCCTCTCGGCCGTGCGAACCATCACAAGCGAAGGGAACGCCACAACAGACGCCTGACGCCGCCAAGACTCCTCCTCCTCCTCCTCCTCTTCTTCTTCCTCCTCCTCTTCCTGCTGCTGGTCCTCCTCCTCCTCCTCCTCCTCGTCCTCGTCCTCTTCCTCGTCATCATCGTGGGCGGGCCGGCCCACTTCGAGATGAACTGCATCAGGCAGATGCAATACCTCAACCGGCTGTGCTCGCCCCACTCTTCCCCCGATGTCTCCTCACCAAGGCTTTCCTTGGCGAGGCAAGGACTTGTCCATATCCACTTCCCAGGGAACCGGCGTCCATGGATGCACTTGAACCCCTGGGGGGCCCGCGTATGTCCATAACCATCGCCCGCCGAAGCCCGCGGAGATCGAACCCCTCGGCGGCGGCTGCGTCCCCGCCTCGCATCCTAGACGGCGGGAGCATCGTATTGGCGGCGAGCGCGGGGGAGAAGTGAGAGGGGGCAGGCCTTTTCAGAGGGTTAGGACCCCCCGCCTTTTGAGAAATGTCCTGAACCTCCCCCGAAGACACATAAAATTAGCCAGGCGAAGGACCCAACCGTATGCAGTTGTGAATGCCGCAATTATGAAGATCATCTTCGCCCGCGCCCCCTGTGGGGCCACGAACCGTGTGAGGGGCGTGCCGACATGCGTAGCGGGGCACACAACGCGATCGAACACGATAGGTCTGTGGGAGAGACTGAGAACGAGTGAGTCTGATTGTGGATGAGTCTGCGCGCGCGTGAGTCTACGTGCATAAATGTCGACGCCCATGTCGGCACGCCTCTCACGAGGATCGCGCCCGCTTCCTTTCCGCTATTGCCTAACAGCGAAGACTGATAGGTTTCTAGTAATGTCAAAAGAGAGCATCTTGACTCCCCAGGAGGGTCTGGGCGGGTGCCGGGGAGAAGCCGCGGAAGTCGTTTTAAGCAAACAGTTACACACTTCGTGGTCTTCGAGGTCCCAAAACTCCATTCCTGGGCCACATGTTGAATGCCCGGAGCCAACTGTAGGCGACTCCGTGGTCTTCGAGTCCCCAGAACTCCATTCCCGGGCCACATGTTGAATGCCCGGAGCCAACTGTAGGCCACTTCGTGGTCTTCGAATTCCCAGAACTTCATTCCTGGGCATGATTTTCAATGCCCGGAGCCAACTGTAGGCCACTCCGTGGTCTTCGAGTCCCCAGAACTTCATCCCTGGGCATGATTTTGAATGCCCGGAGCGAGAAGTAGGCCACTTCGTGGTCTTCGAGTTCCCAGAACTTCATTCCTGGGCATGATTTTGAATGCCCGGAGCCAACTGCAGGCCACTTCGTGTTCTTCGAGTTCCCAGAACTCCATTCCCGGGCCACATTTTGAATGCTGAGGCAGGCTGAGGCTGAGGCTGAGGCAGGCTGAGGCTGAGGCAGGCTGAGGCTGAGGCCGAGGCTGAAGGCAGACTGAGGCTGAGGCTGAAGGCAGGCTGAGGCTGAGGCTGAGGCAGGCTGATGCTGAGGCAGGCTGAGGCTGAGGCTGAGGCTGATGCAGGCTGAGGCTGAGGCATGCTGAGGCTGAGGCCGAGGCTGAAGGCAGACTGAGGCTGAGGCTGAAGCAGGCTGAGGCTGAGGCTGAGGCAGGCTGAGGCTGCTGAGGCTGAGGCTGAGGCTGAGGCTGAGGCTGAGGCTGAGGCAGGCTGAGGCTGAGGCAGGCTGAGGCTGAGGCGAGGCGAGGCTGAAGGCAGAGGCTGAGGCTGAGGCTGAAGCAGGCTGAGGCTGAGGCTGAGGCAGGCTGAGGCTGAGGCTGAAGGCAGGCTGATGCTGAGGCAGGCTGAGGCTGAGGCTGAGGCTGATGCAGGCTGAGGCTGAGGCAGGCTGAGGCTGAGGCCGAGGCTGAAGGCAGGCTGAGGCTGAGGCTGAGGCTGAGGCTGAAGGCAGGCTGAGGCTGAGGCTGAGGCAGGCTGAGGCTGAGGCAGGCTGAGGCTGAGGCCGAGGCTGAAGGCAGACTGAGGCTGAGGCTGAAGCAGGCTGAGGCTGAGGCTGAGGCAGGCTGAGGCTGAGGCTGAGGCATGCTGATGCTGAGGCAGGCTGAGGCTGAGGCTGAGGCTGATGCAGGCTGAGGCTGAGGCAGGCTGAGGCTGAGGCCGAGGCTGAAGGCAGACTGAGGCTGAGGCTGAAGCAGGCTGAGGCTGAGGCTGAGGCAGGCTGAGGCTGAGGCAGGCTGAGGCTGAGGCTGAGGCAGGCTGAGGCTGAGGCTGTGACTGCGACTGCCGTTGCCACTGCGACTGTCATCGCGAATGCGACTACGACTGCGAGAACAGCAGAATTCTACAACTGGATTCTCATCTGAATCTTAAGGGGAATGCTTCCAGATATGCTCCTACACATCGCTGTTAGGTTGCTTTGCCGGGATATTTTTCTCCCTCTTTGCCCGTGCACGTCCACGTCCAAGGCTGCGGGAGCGGCGCCGCACGGACTCCACGCGACGCGCGCTGGTCGCCCCGAAGGGGTCCCGGCGACGCGCGCGGGTCGTCCGCTGCGCGGAGCAGAGATAGCGAGCAGGCCCGAAAGCGGCCTCAACACGTCGAATACGACGAACAACCTCCAAACATCGAAAGTCGCCGCCATGCGAACTCCGCCGCTGGGCCGCCATGCGAGTTCCGCCACGGAGACCTTACGTGAACCTCCCTGTGGGGACACGAAACGCTGTACTGGGCGGTGGATGACGCACGCGGGCGGTCCCACTGGGGCCTCCGGTGGAGCCCCCTATGGGGCCACGAAACGCTGTGTTGGGTGGTGGATGACGCGTGCGGGCGGTCCCACTGGGGCCCTCGGTGGAGCCCTCTATGGGACCACGAAGCGCTGTACTGGGTGGAGGGTGACGCATGCGGGCGGTCCCACTGGAGCCTTCGGTGGAGCTCCATATGGGGCCACGAAATGCTGTGGTGGGTGGTGGATGACGCATGCGGACGGTCCCACAGGGGCCTTCGGTGGAGCTCCCTATGGGGCCACGAAACGCTGTACTGGGTGGTGGATGACGCACGCGGGCGGTCCCACTGGGGCTTCGTTGGAGCTTCCTATGGGGTCACGAAACGCTGTACTGGGTGGTGGATGACGCATGCGGGCGGTCCCAAGACCTTCTCAGAAAGCGGCGGGGTTTCTCAGAAGCCCTCCAGCCTTATGAGATGTTTTCTGCGTCTTCGGGAAAGGCTTAGAAAGCTTCTCAGAAGGCCGGAGGCCTTCCGAGCCTTCTGAGAAGGCCAACTCTTTCTCGCTTCCCCCCCGGGCTCGCGCCGATTGTCGGCACCGCCCTCGTCGGTCTGCAGAAGTGGATGCCAAAACTGGCGAGATCGATATAAACCGAATGCAGTGCAAGGCCAGCCGTGGAAGGGCGGGGTAGACAGGGGCTACGGAGCAGCGCGAGACGGGGGGGGCCAGAGGAAAGAGAGAGAGAGAGAGAAAGGCACACGGACGGACAAGCCACTCTAGATCATGTGTACAATGATGGCAATTCTGCAGGGGCTCTCGAAGCGGCTGTTATTACACCAAACTTGAGCACAAACATGATAATGCAGACGACAGCGCATAGGGACCAACATGGCCGCCAACATGAGAGCGCGACATAGCAGCATGGCTTTCGTTGCAGAGACGTTGGCAGAAAGATGAGCAGCTCGAGCCTTCAGCGACAACGTATGCCCCCCCACCTTCTAAAGCCATCAGCAGGAGGATAAGGAAGAGGGCCAATGTAAACCCAGCACGCGTCAACGATGTTGCAACACACCCGCCCTCCAAATTCCATATTGAATAGTCCCTACAAGAATTTACCTACATTACGGTAAGTGCCCCAATGGAAGACAGACGTCTGAGAATCCACAATCGTGCCCAAACAAACATTCAGGGGACTGCAACGCCAAGAATCAACGTAACCGTTGCGTCCTGACAATCCAAAATCGTGCCAGAACATTATTCCTGGGACTTCAACGCCGCGAATCTGCGTGACTGCTGCGCCCTGGCAACCCTAAATCGTGCCAGAACGCCACTCCTGGGATTTAAACTATACGAACCCTCCAATGTGTTGCAAACTGTTGAGACGAATGTGCGTGGGGCTTAGACGAGAGCCACACTTTGAAAAAAGGAGCCGCCGTCCATCGTTGAAAATGCTGCACAAGTGTAAAGCGAATGTGCGCAGCGCTAAGGGCGGAGGCCACATTTTGAACAAGACCCGTCGTCCAGAAAATGCTGCACAATTGTAAGACGAATGTGCGTGGCGCTACAGCGAGGGCCACATGTTGTAAAAGGACCCGCCCTCAATGCTTGAAACCGTTACGAATTTCAAGCTTCAATCTCACAAATGTGAAGGACGTCTCAGGCGGTACGCCCGGCCTGCCCGACCAACGCATCTGGAGGTGCGACAGTGGAGGAGTTATCCAGATGGAAGAGGGATGAGCTGAAACAGGAGGGAGGATGAGAATCGAGACGCACATCGGGGAGAAAGATGGGATGGATGGAGGGGGGGCGAGGAGGGAGAAGAGAAGGCGAGAGGAAGAGGAGTGGGAGTCAAGCTCGCCACCTCGACCGAGGCTGCGGGCCCACGCCACTCCCCTCCCTCCCGTGGTGTGCGAACCAGTGTGAAGGGGCCCTGGGACAAACAAATAAATACACACAAATAAAAGGATCCCCTATATTTTCCCATATTTCCTGGGTTTCTGTCTCCCCCCACTTCCCATATTCTGCTATATTTTCCTGGGAGTGGACGATTCATTGTGTCTGTGTGTCTTTTCCCCTCCTGACAGTGCTCGCACGCCTGGCAGGTGCCACCTGCGCGTGCCCTCGCCCGGCGCGGGGCACGGCGCCGCCGCGTGCGCGCGGCCCCGCCGCCGACGACACCCGGCAACGAGAGCAGGGCGCCGCGCCAGGGCGGGGAGGCAGCGCCGCGGGGAGGCCATTACCTCTGAAGCTCGGGGCCAGAGGCCACGGCCCGCTCGCCGGCGCGAGGCCCAGCGTCCGTCAGAATTGCTCCAGATTTCGCAATAAAGGGAGGGGGGTCTCATTTCGGGGGGGGGGGGGGTCGCTTCCAGG